GCCCCAACTATCAACCTGAGCCGGCCCCAACTATCAACCTGAGCCGGTCGCTAAGACTAGAAAGCAGTGGGTGGAAGACCGGAGTGGTCCATGTTGTCTAATGTTGTTAGGTGTAAAGGGTCAAAGTGAGACAAGGCACAAGTAATACTCCTGGAGAACTGGAGGGAAGGTTCATTCCTGGATGTTGTGGCAATATTCTGTCAGATGGCAACAATTTAGTTATTGAAGAATGTAGCAAATGGTTCACTTTGTTTTTGGACAACATCTCTTGATGGGCTTGTAGACGGTGAATTAATAAGTCGATCAGCAGTGGAGCATAGAAGTTTACCTTTGTTGATATTTTTCATTTCAGATTTTAGAGAAAAAAAGACTAATTTCTTTATTGTAGTTATTGAGACCATTGTTGTGTGTGGGTCCAGAAACTTGCGAAAATAGCAAATGTAGTTTCTAGCAGTCTGTTTGGTTGTCAAAATTAATATTAAATTGAGATAATTACACAATTGTAGTCAGTGGACAGAGAGTGGTGACAGCAAAGTATTCAAAAGACACAGATTCCCAACTGAGGATCTTGTGCAGAACTTCAACTCAAAGATACAAAATGTCATCGATTGTATGACACCTGTTAAATATTTAAAACAGAATAATAAAAAGCCTACTGGAGAAATGGAGCGGTTGTAAGGCAGCTTAAGAGAGAGTGGCGTCCTGGCAGAATAGAAGCGGAGAAAGAAACTTCAGGTTCAACATTTCTTTGCACCTATATTAATAAGACAGTAGCTATTCCACGGCCTCTCTTGTCACATCTAGCAGTTTGGATGAACTTAAAGCTCTTAAATAGTGTTTCTATCCAGCCAGGTCTCAGTCAGGGGTGGGGCTAGGGTGAAGTCCAGGTTATGGCTATACGGTCATTAACTAAAAATGACTTATTCGTTAGCGACCTGACATTTAGTGAAGACATTTTCTTATTGTTCGAGGTCTGCTGTAGCCCGTAAGAGTTTAAATCATTGGCACATACAATGTAGATGATCAGATGTTGATGGAGATGGGATTTGATTTTGGAGTTCGGTGTGCTCTTATTCTGCTTCTATTTCCATTGTATATTCTTTACAGAATGTCTAGTCAGAGAACTTACTTTGTTTGTTGCCCTCATTTTTGATTCAGGGAGTACAGGTCCTGATGAGCAGTGCGGTGCAGCCTCTCCTGCAGTCAGTGAGTGACTCCATAGAGGCCATCATCATCACGCTACACCAAGAAGACTTTTCAGGGTGAGCAACAGTGACTGGGAATCCGTACTGGAAGCGATACGTAAGCCAGACTTGATCTGCACCGATCCATACTGACTCCTCCGTCGGTAAATGCCTCTGCCCGTCTGTCAGCAGAGTGAGCAGCTGCTCACTAACCGGCCTCACCAGGCCAACTGACAGCAGACATTTACTGAACCAAATCAGTCTTCATCTCAGCTCCATGGGAAGAAATCAACGGTGTTTGGAAGCCTTTGTATTGATTCATTGATATTGTTTGCTTGCCGTGAGGGGAATCTGCCACAAGTGAAACAGGAAAGCACACGAACAGACTGTCTTAATCAATCAATGTAGATAAGGTTAATAAGTTCAAAACATATGGACAGCGGGACATTTGTGTGATTTATACAGCCGTCTATGGAGATTAGGCTTAACTAAATGTGACAAAAATAAACTTGTCTAAGTGTAAAAAAAATGGGGGGGGGGGGTTCCCATTCCAATTCCAATTCCAATTCCAATATGCGTCTCATGGAGTCAGTGCGGATTGATACATTTAATAAAATGGAAGCGTACCTGTTCCGTGAGCCACCCAAGTGACGGAAATCCAAAATGCTTTAAGTGGGTATCAGCGTTTAGCCTGTTTACACTGCAGGAACTTCTCCTGTGATCCGGGGATCATTTCATGAACTCACCGGCGTTTGGACTGGAGAAACTCTCACCTAAATTCAGTTCATCGGCTATAATTCCGGGTCTCAAAAAAGTCCCTTCTCTGGGTGTAGCACTTTCCGATGGGCCAGGAACTATGGGGTAACCAAATCTCATGTGGACAGCACTGGGTGCCACTAGAATCACAAGTAGGACAAGGAATGGTTTTGCCTAATCCTAATCTAAATTTTGAAATTGGAAATGAACAAGGCTGATAGCCCTTTTCTCTATAGCCCGACCAATACTGGAGCTAAAATAATGTGTTTTCAGCTCATGAGCCATCTGTCGATGCTCTCAAGGCTGCTCACGGCGCTCTTCCTGAGCTGGTCTACTTGATCTACATCCTTGAGGCATGTATTTGGGTATAGTCTTATTGCCGATGTAGAAACGTTGGTCTGACAGCTTGTCCTTGACGATGGAGAGGATTCTGGACTTGCTCTGCTTGATCTTCCTCCAAGCCAGTTTGATGAACAGAGGTACAGTACAAGCCATGGTCCGGTTGAGTGTTGTGAGGTCCTCCATGTAGGCCCAGGTCTTATCGCCTGTCCTCCAACCACCCACCGAGATGGCCTAATGATCACCTCCATGGCCAAGGTTGAGGCTAGTGGAGAGATTATACAGCCGCCATGACTCCCTCTTCCGGATGTTGCCATTTTGTGTTTGCATTTTTGTATAGCCTGAAAGGGGCTCCGTGGGGCCCTGGAGCTGATGAGGCCCTGCACACAGATTTCTCCACTTCGCTCCATCTAGGCGGGTTGGTGTGTTCCCATGGCTGGACTAGTGGAGTGGGAGGATGATCTCTTTATGGCGTCGGTTGTCCGTGCAGACATCACCCGATGTTTTTCAAGATCTGCCTTTGACACTGAGAGACTTCGACTCTTCTCTTTTGTGAAGACACCCTTCACAAACTCGAAGGGGTCTTTGTGGAAGTTTGCTCTTGTCCTTCCTGCAATTCTTTACCATGTTCTCAGGTGTCCTTAGTGCCACATGCCTGCTCCGAACTGCAACAGGTTTATGCCTGCCTTCTCCTCTGTAGCCTTCATCCATTGCTACTTCAGCTGCCTTCTCTCTCTGACTAGGCGATCACTTTCCTTCTGCCTCCTCCAAGATATTGCAGAGGTCAGCGTTGACTTCCTCCCTGAGCGGCTCTTTGGCCTCTGGATCTTCTTTTTCACTGCAGGTCGTGATGGGCTGGGTTCAGGTTGCTCTTTTGTGCCTTGATCTTCCTCTGCTTGGACAGGGTCTTTCATGTCCAGCAGACTTGGGTTTTTGTCCTGCTGCTGAACCTCAGTTGACCGACTCGACTGACCTGGAACAGCACTGAAACTCGGGTATTATATCGTCATTGAAAATGAAGTGAAGAAGATCGTTGCAGGATGCATGATTTAGCATGTGTTCTGTTCTCCATAGCCATCCTTTCAAACAGAAATGCAATTTCAATATTATTAGACATTCAGTATTCCCATCCACTTATAAAGTGAACCTATTTTAATGTGTGTGTGTGTGTGTGTGTGTGTGTGTGTGTGTGTGTGTGTGTGTGTGTGTGTGTGTGTGGGGGGGGCAGGGCTCTGTCCTGCCCTGATAAGCCAGATGTTCCGTGCTCACTCTACATGAAGGAGTTGCAGGGCTTCATCTCTAGAGTGATGGCTGACTACTTCAGACATTTCCAGTGTGTGGACTTCATCTATGAGAGCACAGAGTCCCTCGCTCAGAGGGCCATCGAGCTGTTCATCCGCCACACCAGCCTGCTGCGCCCGCTGGGAGAGGGTGGCAAGATGAGGCTGGCTGCTGACTTTGCACAGGTGAGGGAGCTCTGTCTGAGGCGGATGTGTTCCCAGGCTGATTCTAGTGCCCCTTGTGTACAGGAAGGTTGACAGATGATTCAAAAATACCAATGTCATTCACCACACTGAAATGTATGCTGATGTTTGAGTACTGTCTGTGTGTATTTGTGTGTGTGTCAGATGGAGTTGGCAGTGGCTCCTCTGTGCAGGAGAGTGTCTGATTTGGGGAAACCTTACAGGATGCTGCGCTCATTCAGGTGTGAACACTTGTGTATCATTAAGACCAACACTCATCACAATCATTTGTCTGTGATTTAGTTGATTTTTATCGACATGTTTAGTAGCGATGTGGCCTTTTCAACAGGAGCCAGTTGGTATTTAAGGCTCAGTTCAACAAAGTAAACCACATTCTCATTAGAGCAGAGAAACAGGTTTATCTGCTTTGTGTCAAAGCTCAACAAATAAGCACGGATCAATTACGTAAACCCAGCTTTACATTCAAACTCATTGCTCACTTACTTCTAGAGCAGGGGTCACCAACCTGTCAATCACAATCAACTGGTCAATCTTAAAGTCACTTATCAAATCTATCACTACATTCATGTCATATTGGGTTTCAGATTTCCCCTCCCCCTTTCCTTTAAGCCTGACTGTGTCAATTATACACTATATTATATTGTGTCCATTGTACACTATATGATATTG